AACTTCTAACTTCCTTCAATGACCTTGGCGTAGCGAAGTCGCGGACTGCTCGAATCTTTTCTTGGTCGGGACGAATTCCATTTTCACTCACCTCATGTCCAAGAACCGTGATAGTTTTTGCACCAAAATTGCATTTCTTGGAATTGAGACATAATCCGGCTTTCTTAAGGCAATTTAATACAAGTTGAAGGCGTCTTAGGTGTTCTTCAAAGCCATCTGAAAAAACGATGATGTCGTCGAGGTAACACAAGCAAATGGTCCACTTAAGACCCTTCAGAAGATTATCTATCATTCGTTCGAAGGTAGCTGGAGCATTACATAACCCAAATGGCATTACTTTGAACTCGTACAGTCCATCTGGAGTTATGAATGCTGTCTTCTCACGGTCCGATTCTTCTACGTCGATTTGCCGCGTCCTGATTGAAGATCCATGGAAGAATAAAATCTAGCTCCCCGTAAGCAGTCTAAAGTGTCGTCGATCCTTGGAAGAGGGTAGACATCCTTTTTTGTTATTTTGTTAAGGCGGCGGTAATCGACGCAGAATCTCCAGCTTCCATCCTTTTTTCTTATCAATACTACAGGCGAGGCCCACGGACTTTCAGAGGGCTGAATGATGTCAAGTTTTTCCATCTTGTTTACCTCTCATCCTGAATAATTTGGCGTTCTCTTGGTGCAACTCGGTAAGGTCTTTGTTTGGTCGGTAGGTGGTCTCCAGTGTTAATTCGGTGTTTAACATTGACGTCCTTGAATTGTTTTCTTTTACTAAATTGGAAAATATCCGTATAGTTTTTTAACAAATTTCTTAATTTTTCTTTTTGAGATTCATCAAGTGAATCATCTATAAAAATTCCGAGATTTTTGGGTCTTCAGAATGTTCCGCCTCTGTTTCACCTTGGTTACAATCAGCTAGAGTACATAATTGACTATCTTCGATGACAGCACTATCGGCTACATGCATCCCCTGTGGGATTAGTTTCGGATATGGACTCCAATTCACCACCCAAAGTTTACCTCGGTTATTGGTAAGTGAAATGACAGAGGAGGGAGCCGTTAATTCTTTTTCCAGCAATAGCTCTTTTCGACATTCTGCCACCACAATTGCGTCATTAGGAATGTCACGACTTGCTACTTCTATTAACTGAATAGAGGCGGGTTCGATTCTATATTCCAATTCCGAGTAGAGAGGTGAGCTGGTCTTAGGTGTATCCTCAAAAAGACATTTTTCTAAGAAGAGTGTGTCGTCAGCTGAATCAATTATCGCCCTAGATAACTTCAAAAAGTTCCAACCAAGAATATCTTCGTGACTACAGTCTTCCATAACGACAAATTCAAAGCTTTCCTGTAGTCCATTCAAGTCCAGTTTCAGTGTGCAGCGTCCTTTTGGTCTTACAATTTTACCGTTGGCTACTCGTAATGTGACGTCAGTTTCGGCAAACATTATTTTTCTTAGTTTGAGTCTGAACCTCTCAGAAATGACAGAATATGAGGCTCCTGAGTCGACGAGGGCACGCGTCATTTTTCCTTCTATTTTAATGTCTATGTAATTTTCTTTGAATTCTAATGTGGTCGACAAGGGAGGATTTATAAATTTTGCGGCCTTACCTCCAAAATAGGACGCATCTTCTAGTTTTCCTGACGGGAACGGCGAGGCGACTGGCTGGGTCTTCTATCAGGAGACGAATATTGTCCTTTTCGGCCAGTGTAAGGAGAGGGGCTTCGGTAGCGGCGTCTATTTTCTCTTGGCAGGTCGTCGTTGGGCTCTTGGCTGCTCCGAGAATTATAGAAAGTTCTAGGCTCTAGCCTATCTCTCTGCTTGTAATTCCAAGTTTGTTCTCCTTCATATTCTCTCCTCCTGTCACGGCAGTAGCGCACGACGTGGCCAGGACGTCCGCAGTGGAAACAGATTGGCTTACCTTCCGTGGTTCGCCATTCGTTGGTATCGCGTATTCCGTTTACTTGTTTTGGCTGCTGCGGTCTTATCGTTTGGGCCACATATCTATTATTATAAAACTCTCGGGGTCTTTCCTTCTGTGGGGAACTTCTCCTAGGCTTTGAGATTGGCGCCAGGGTTCTTCCAATCTCCTCCTTTACCATATCTTCGATGGTAGAAATTTTTGGTTCCTCTCGAGTAGAGCCTAATGCCCGCTGTACCTCCTCACGAACAATTTGCCTGATCATAGATGACAGATCTGCCCTGTCATCATGATCACTGAGAGATGCCACATTTGGTAGTCGCTCGTATTTGGTAGGGGTCACTCGCTTGCAGTGTAGGCTTTCAATGCGGCGACATTCGGTGACGAATTGCTCAGTGTTATGCACATCCCTTGGGAGAAGTGCCTGGTAGAGCTCCTCAGCTATTCCTTTCATCAGATGGGATATTTTATCTTCCTCATTCATTTGTGGATCTACCTCTTTGCAAAGGCGCAGGACGTCTTGGATGTAATATTCGGTGCTTTCTCCTTTTAATTGTGCGCGAGTTTTGAGTATTTTCTCAGCTCGCAGTCTTGAGCTTTCATTTTTTCCAAATACATTTTCTAATTGTGACATGAACTCCGTCCATGTCTGGATGCTTTCCTCGTTGTTTTCATACCATTTGAGAGCAGTGCCAGTTAGATAGAAATAAACGTTTGCGAGACAAAGGGTTTCATCCCATTGGTTGTGCTTCGCCACACGTTCATACCCTTTTAACCAGCTACGGGGATCTTCAACACCCTCACAAGAGAACATTGAGGGGTTTCTAGGTAGATGTTGGACAAAAAATGAACCTACCTGAGTAGTTGCTTCTTTCTTGATGTTCATGGTTTTTTCTTCTTGCTCAACCGAGTCAATTTTCCGTTTTTTTCTGAATGGGTATCGATCCAGCTTCTTCACCAGTTGTAGCGTAGAAATCAAGTCTTGAAATATCCTAAGATGTAAAAGTATTTATTGATGACGTCACAGCGACGAGTCGACATTTATTAACAAGTCAGCCAAACTATATACAGCTAGAGAATTATTATTATTTATTTAAGTAACCCAGGTTCCTGGAGCGTACAGAAGTCGCCAACTACCCTGGATGTCCTTCTGACCTAAGTCTTCTTGGATTTATGTACAATGCCAGTGGAAGTCCAATTAATGAGGTGTTGCCAGGCAGATTTCTTTCTTGGGAGACCTTCCAGGGATGCTGGACATATGTTGGTGATACCTAGGAGAGTGGCCGTCTTGTACAGCTAGAGAATCTTAAGCAAGCAAGCAAAGAAATATTTTAAAGATGATATCACAAATACAGATTAATATATATTTTTATAATCTGTTGAATATATTTTCATTGAATAATATTAAATTAAATAATAAAATAATTCTTCGCCACAATATCTATATAATAATGTGGGCTTAGTTGATTTATAATGGCTTAGTGGTTGAGGTATAGAAAAATAAAACAAAGACATATAGCATACAAATATAAAAAAGGTGATAGATTGATGGATGGCATTGACGAAGATGTTTTGTTCTGGTAATAGGACTGGGAGGCCGAGTTGAGCTGATCGAAGGAGCTCGTGGAGCCTCGCAGACCCCTACTCGATGTCGTTTCGCACGGCTTCCAGTTGCCGGAAGAAGTGTTCCGCGGATAGGTGCCATAGGGGAGACATAGGCACGTGGAGCTGTCACTTCTTGGAGGGCCTCGGTCAGTCAGTTTATCAAGGTGTCCACGCTGGGCCGGATGTAAGTGGCGGGTACCTCAGAAGCGTCCACATAGTGTTCTCCATCTTTGTTCATAGTCCTTTGTCCACTGTCTGCCATCAAAATCCTGTCGGTTATACGGGTTTACTGTCGTAAACCCGGGTAAGCCAACAAGTGAGTTGGAAGCAGTCGGGGTTGAGTGGCGAGGCATGCAGAGTGGGAATTCCGCACGGGACAGTAAGGACAAAGTTTGGGATCAAAAGACGCTCTCCTAGTACGTCTCACGTGGCACCAGGACCAGGGGAAATTTGAGGATTAACTGAGGAAAGCTCGGCGTCCTGCATAAAGCCGCGGAGGCAGGGAGGAGCCAAAACGGCGGCCTCGAGGGCCGCCGTGAGACCTAGCACTCAGTGGGCCTCTCCGCAAATATCCACTGTAACCTAACTAACTGTCAACATCCGGACCAACGCCCCTTCTTTGTCCCTCTCTGGATCCCCCGGGTGTCCGGTGGCAAGCTGGTGTCACTTTGAGACGACTAGAAAAGACGTCATACTTTATTACTTACATATCACATTATTCAAATTACGATATATATATATATGCGATTATCTGTATATAACAATATGTAACCCCACCACAATCTATGAAATGTATCGTCAAAAGATTTAATAAAAGTTAGGCTTCGCGAAAAGGGAATAACAATTAACAGGATTGCATCATCCAGGAAGTAAAGGTCACTGTCCAGGACCCATAAAACTTCAAAGTTCAAAGACCTTCTTCTTCCTGGAAGATTGCAATCATGGCGACAATGGAGGTACTAAGCCAATCACAGTTAAGCATGACAAATCAACAACCAATCACCTTTAAGCATGACCAACTGATAGCAAATCATCAGAGAGTACGTGGAAGGATCTCCACCAATGAGAGGTAGAGAGAGTTAATGACGGACAAGAAGTTAAAGAGAAGGTAGGTGACCGTGCTAGAAGCAAGGTGTGCTCAGGTTAGGCTCCAACCAAGGTATTGTCCGCTCCATCATGTGAAAGGCAAAGTACCTCCTCCAGTCTCATCACTCTCCCTTTCGCAAGGTCTATTTTCTATCCCATCCATGTGTGCTCGTTATTCCCCTGTGGAAAACCACTATTCGACCAAGACTGCGCCATCAATCACCAATTCAACATAATCCGACATAGGATTCAACAATTCACCAGGACTCACCAGGATTCAAACGGGTTATTACAGTAAGTCGACAGGATCCAACACGATCCGACAGAGAGTCGACAGGATTCACCCCGAATATTATATTAATATATACAGTTATCAGCATCATTCACAATTCTTTCTTAATTCTGTCACCGTCAGTGGTAGAATGCTCGCCTGCCACGCGGGCGCCCCGGGTTCGATTCCCGGCCGTTGCATTTTTTTTTTTTTTTTTACAATTTTTAAAACTCATTTATACGCATAAGCATAAAAAGATAAGAGGAGCTTCTTTTATAAATTTTAATTCGCAAGCTTTCGGACTAGACGTCCTTCTACAGGCATGGATAGTGGTAATACTAACCTTTTTTTTTTAGTATATGATTATTTGTAAAGAACCTGGCATATGTCTGGGATATCTATTTTTCTATTAAGGCTGTTGATTTGGTTGGATATGGCTGATTCTAAATAAAGTATATTGTATTTATTGTGTATATTACGGTATAAGATTTTTGGTTGATCTAAATTAAACTGGTGACCTGTTTGTGCTGTGTGTTGATATATTAATGTGATTTAGGGTCTTTATTATGGATATTGCGTTTGTGTTCGGTTAGTCTGATATATGTCGTTCTGCCTGTCTCACCCACATATGTGGATGAGCAATCTTGACATGAGACGACATATACTGCTCCTGTAGAATGTATGAAAAGGTTAGTATTGTCAGCTTTGGTGATTGGATGTCTTAATATGGTGGCCAAACATGGAGAACTATTGTAGTATACTTTAATTCCAAAAGGACGAAGGATTCTGGATATTGCAAGTGATGAAGTGGAATATGGTAGGAAACAGGCAGCTCTGTGTATAGTGGTGGACTTTGAGACAGAAGGATCATAGAAATGCCTATAAATAAAGGGTCTAGGATAACCTGCTTTAATTAAAATGGAAACTATTCTGGCTTTTTCTATTGTTTTAAATATGGTTAGGGAACAATGAGTGAAAATTCTTTTTGATAATGTTCTGACTGTATTATTTTTTTATGCAATCGGACTATTGGAGGAGAAATGGGTATATTGCGGTGGAATGGCCTTCTTATAATATACAGTAAAGTGGAACTTACATGGAGTACGAATAATTAAAATATCCAAAAATGGTAAAACACAATTTTGTTCTGTTTCGTATGTGAACTCTATATGGGAGTTGAAACTGTGTAGGGTGCTGTGAATAAGATGTAAACTATCAGATTTGATGATACAAAAGATATCATCCACATATCTCCTCCAATAGTATATATCCGAGGGAAGAGTATGGTTAATCCATCTGTCCAAAAAACCCAAGACTATTTCTGAAATGATTGAAGAGAGTGGGCTACTCATAGGAGTTCCTCTAATTTGCCTGTAATATTGTTTTTGAAATGTAAAAGTACCCATGGATAAACAAAGCTTGGTAAGCTGTAATATAATGTCTATGGTTTGATTATATGTACCTGCTGTACTAAGAAAGGAGTGTAGACTATCTGTAATAAGGGAATGGGGCAAGGACAAATATAAAGAAGTGATATCAAAGGAGGCCATAATGTGCTGTGGTGGAGGTGGTAATGATGAAATCTCTTCTATGAAATTAGGGGGGTTTGTTATACTGTATATGTTTGGACTATTATTTCTAATGGGGGATAGGATACTCACCGGGAATTTAGCTATTGGGAATGCCGGAGATAAATGATAGGCTATTATAGGTCTGAGCGGGACCCCTGGCTTGTGTATCTTGGGAGAGCCATATATGTATGCATTCTTATCTAAGGAGCTGGTAAATTGGGCGAATTCGGGTAAATTGGGCGTTAGTATTACCACTATCCATGCCTGTAGAAGGACTTCTAGTCCGAAAGCTTGCGCATTAAAATTTATAAAAGTAGCTCCTCTTATCTTTTTATGCTTATGCGTTTAAACCAATTATTAAGAGTATCTAATCGTTTAATAAAACTCATTTATATTATTGAAATATATCTACTTTTCCTGTCTATGTACAGATTTATGGTCTATGTACACAAGTATACAAGTATGTATACAACTTATTTGAAATTGCGTGGCAAATTTCCCATTTCGCTCGCAAGCAGCACCTCTAGCGGTGAAGATGGGAGGTAATATCAGCTGACCTAATGGACATGTGAAACGTGTTTTAACAAGACATAGAGAAAAATCTGGGTAAGATATTTTTCGGATTTTTAGTCAATAAAAATAAATTGACAGGTTCTGGGAAAAAAGTAGTTGTTTTTTATTCAGAAAATGATGATGACAATATTGCTGTATCATATTTGATTATCCCTATACAGTGGACCCTCGGTTTACGAGCACCTTGGAGTACGAGCTTTTCGCAGTACGAGCAAAATTTTTTGAAAAATTTTACCTCGGATTACGAGTGAAATTTCGCATTACGAGCAACTCGTGATGGTTGCCCGTAATCGTGATGGATGAAAATTTTTTGGGGTACCTCCCTTCAGATCAGATTCGGGAAATATGTAAAATGTGGGAAACTGTGCAATTGTTCGTAGCAAGAAGAATTGCCCGAGTTTCAATTATTAAAAATAAGAAATTAGTTTCGCACTACGAGCGTTTTGGAACGGATTATGCTCGCAAACCGAGGGTCCACTATATATAGTCACGACCGTCATCGGCCGCCTCTGTCACGGATGCGCGCGCACAGGGAGGTCACGTGCTCGCCGGCAGCCAATAAAAAAAAACTCCCTCGAGCCGGATTTGAACCAGCGACCTAAGGATCACCGTTGTAACATCTACAGTCCTCTGCTCTGCCGACTGAGCTATCGAGGGATACAAACTGTATGAATAAGTTTACCTTATAAAGTCAACTAATCCTATTTCTACACAAAATGTATCAACATATATAGTCACGACCGTCTTTCCACCGTCAATTCCACAATTCCTCAATTCCTCATGTCACGGATGCGCGCGCATCATCATTAGTATAATATAAAAAGCCAACAATGAAGAATGAATGTAAGATAAAAAGCCAAGAATGAAGAGTAAATATGATATAAAAAGCCAACAATGAAGAATGAATGTAAGATAAAAACCAACAATAAAGAGTAAATGTAATATAAAAAGCCAACAATGAAGATAAAATGTAAGATAAAAAGCCAACAATGAAGAGTAAATATAATATAAGAAGCCAACAATGAAGAATAAATGTAAGATAAAAAGCCAACAATGAAGAGTAAATATAATATAAAAAGCCAACAATTAGAATGAATGTAAGATAAAAAGCCAACAATGAAGAGTAAATATGATATAAAAAGCCAACAATGAAGAATGAATGTAAGATAAAAAGCCAACAATGAAGAGTAAATGTAATATAAAAAGCCAACAATGAAGAATAAATGTAAGATAAAAAGCCAACAATGAAGAGTAAATATAATATAAAAAGCCAAAAATGAAGAGTGAATGTAAGATAAAAAGCCATCAATGAAGAGTAAATGTAATATAAAAAGCCAACAATGAAGAATGAATGTAAGATTAAAAGCCAACAATGAAGAGTGAATGCAATATAAAAAGCCAACAATGAAGAATGAATGTAAGATATAAAGCCAACAATGAAGAGTGAATGTAAGATAAAAAGCCAACAATGAATAGTAAATCTACTTATATATTTGCCTTATTCTGTCTGTTTGTCTGTCTGAAGCTCACGGATGGTATTTTTCATAACCATCGGTGGTTCAGTGGTAGAATGCTCGCCTGCCACGCGGGCGGCCCGGGTTCGATTCCCGGCCGATGCATTTTTTTTTTTTTTTTTACAATTTTTAAAACTCATTTATATATTATACAAGAATGACATCCACGGCGCCAATTTATAATTGTAACGAATAGTATTTGAATAAAAGCATTTAATCGGGTAAAACCCGGGCGTTGCCCGGGTCATTCGTATATAATAATTGTATAAACGAATGCAAGACAAAATCACCGCGAATGTTTCTTTTTTTTAAGGCAATTTCTTTTTAAGGCAATTATCGTTATTTATCGTTAATTTTTGTTTCGATTTTATTGAAAAAAAACGATATGGTGCCTTTAAAAAATTATCTTTATTACTATGCAGTTTTCTATTTAGTCAATATACCTAAGTTCATGTTGCAAATGTAATTATCTCTATCGATTTAGTAGGTGAAATGCAAAAAAAAAAATCGACATGATGAAATCTTTATGAAAATTCACATTTTTATTTTTATATTTTCAAGACACACACAGTTTGGGGCGGGACGTTTCACAAGAGAGACATCCACGGCGCCAATTTATAATTGTAACGAATAGTATTTTAATTAAAACATTTTAAAAACACACAGTTTGGAACGCGACGTTTCACAAGAGTGACATCCATGGCGCCAATTTATAATTGTAACGAATAGTATTTGAATTAAAACGTTTTTAAAATATATACTCACTCGGGTAAAACCCGGGCGTTGCCCGGGCCATTCGTCTAGTGTAATATAAAAAGCCAACAATGAAGAATGAATGTAAGATAAAAAGCCAACAATGAAGAGTGAATGTAATATAAAAAGCCAACCTTGAAGAATAATGTAAGATAAAAGGCCAACAATGAAGAGTAAATATAATATAAAAAGCCAACAATGAAGAGTGAATGTAAGATAAAAAGCAAACAATGAAGAGTAAATGTAATATAAAAAGCCAACAGAGTGAATGTAGGATAAAAAGCCAACAATGAAGAGTAAATATAATATAAAAAGCCAACAATGAAGAGTAAATTCTATATATATAAAAATGAATGTTTGTCTGTTTGTATGTTTGTTTGTATGTCCGGTATACAAATTCGCAGTAGTTCACTAATTCAAACCAAAATTTCCATACATAGGTAAAAAAATACGGGGAAGACGATAGGCTATTTAAAAATATATATAAATCAATTATTAAAACTATATATTTTTAGTCATAAAATGATGATGACGATATTGCTGTATCATGTTTGATTATCAGATACAAAATTATATCGGGAAAAATTCCAAAAAGCAGAGACCACGGGTGAAACCAGTTCATTATTTTGTACGCAGGAACAAAATTCTAACAGAAAAACATTCATTCGAGCAGAAAACAAAAGCCAGATCATCTTTCTATAAAAATATCGCTTCTCAGACACAAAGTTTGCAGCGGGACGTTTCACAAGTGTGACATCCACGGCGCCAATTTATAATTGTAACAAATAGT